CCTATATTTCGTTCAAGTTCCTTGTTTCCACATATCTAAGCACCTGGAACGTATCACCGTTAAACATCATATTATTTTTTGTTGCCCAATTGAAGACTTTATTAATATCAGCTTGTAGTTTTTCAGTGTCTTCTACGGAGGAAATTTTCATGCTGATTTTTGTATAATCTGCAAAGGATGACATGAACTGTAACTAGTATTATTGTCTATATCAGAGATAAAAATGAGAAATAGAAGAGGTGCAAGGACTGTGCCCTGGGATACAGAGCTTTTCATTGCACTTGGGCCTGATCTTATTCAACTGACTGTTACTCTCTGCATTCAATGATAGAAAGTTGAAAATTCAACGCCCCACTTTAACCGTTATTCCTATTGATCTCATTTTATGGGCTATCACTCCATAGTCACATTTGTCGAATGTCTCTTCAATGTTTGTGTATGCAACATCTGCATTTTGCTTTTCTTCTAAAGCTTCTGTGATTTTGTCATAGTGGTTGAGAAACTGTGACAGGATCGTCCCGCTCTAAATCCATTAAATTAGCAGTTAAGAGCCGGGACTAAAAAGCTGCAGCTAAACCCCCGCAAGCACAACTAGGTAAGTACATCTAATATCTCCTATGGTACTTTAATTATTTTTTTTTTTAAATCTTTCTTCTCCTGACTTCAACTTGCATTACAAGGTGTGGTGAAGCATGATTTACCACACCAGACTGTGCTAGATCCCCATGATTTATAGCTTTACCATAACCCTTCACACGTACTTCTTCCTTCCTCCATTACACTTGTACTGTGTAACAATTTGTGTTCTTCTTGGGTAGTGTTATTTTTGTATTGATTACCACTTGCCTACAGAGCATAGAAAACAGCTGTTATTCTTCTCATACTTTGCTTTGAAGTTTGCCTGAAATACAGTAATGTAAGGAAGATGTCGTGAAGGAACCCGAAGAATGCAGACTTGTGAAACGGCGTCACATCTTTAGGTAAGGAGTTGGCAGCCTTCAAGCACTCTACCTTTAAGACTTCTTCCCTAAGCTGTCTTAGACAATTGTCAAAACAAAGTTTGAGGAGAATAACAACCATTTGCTATACTTTGGTGATACGTATAAGCAATCAGAAATAACACTTACTATCCAGAAATGAAAACTGTGTTACTTTGTGTTATTTGTTCAAATTTACCTTATATATTTTCTCATTTATATTTTCATTTTGGTCTAACTCAGAAAATGCACGTCATATTTCAGGCCAACTTTGTGGTACACCGAGAGAGAGACATTGCCCAAGTCACTGACCAATAAGTGCTGTGTTGCTCCTTTGGCTTCTGTGCTGCCTCTTGTCCTGGTACAGTTTCCTGTTGTCCTGGTACACTATCCTGTTGTCCTGGTACACTTTCCTGTTCTAGTACACTTTACTGTTGTCCTGGTACACTTTCCTGTTGTCCTGGTACACTATCCTGTTGTCCTAATACAGTTTACTGTTGTCCTGGTACACTTTCCTGTTGTCCTGATACACTTTCCTGTTGTCCTGGTACACTTTACTGTTGTCCTGGTACACTTTACTGCTGTCCTGGTACACTTTACTGTTGTCCTGGTACACTTTACTGTTGACCTGGTACACTTTACTGCTGACCTGGTACACTTTACTGTTGTCCTGGTACACTTTACTGTTGTCCTGGTACACTTTACTGTTGACCTGGTACACTTTACTGCTGACCTGGTACACTTTACTGTTGTCCTGGTACACTTTACTGTTGTCCTGGTACACTTTACTGTTGTCCTGGTACACTTTACTGTTGTCCTGGTACACTTTACTGTTGTCCTGGTACACTTTACTGTTGTCCTGGTACAATATATTGTTGTCCTGGTACAGAATATTGTCCTGTTACAATATATTGTTGTCCTGGTACAGAATATTGTTGTCCTGGTACAATATATTGTTGTCCTGGTACAATATATTGTTGTCCTGGTACAGAATATTGTTGTCCTGGTACAATATATTGTTGTCCTGGTACAATATATTGTCCTGGTACAGAATATTGTTGTCCTGGTACAATATATTGTCCTGGTACAATATATTGTCCTGGTACAATATATTGTTGTCCTGGTACAATATATTGTTGTCCTGGTACAATATATTGTTGTCCTGGTACAGAATATTGTTGTCCTGGTACAATATATTGTCCTGGTACAATATATTGTCCTGGTACAATATACTGTTGTCCTGGTACAATATACTGTTGTCCTGGTACAATATATATACTGTTGTCCTGGTACAGAATATTGTCCTGGTACAATATACTGTTGTCCTGGTACAGAATACATTTTCCCTAATGTCCCCATTCACACTGATGATACTACTCCTCACATTTATGTTTTCTTGACATTTTCCCCTCAAGTGGTCACTGTTCCCTTCATTACTGACCGCTTCTTTCACTTCACCTCTTATAAACAATGTTCGGTTTAGTCTTATTACTTTCCATGTTGTAACATTTCTATGTCCACTCCTATGTTTATTTTGCCACAGTTTTGTTTAAACACATCATTTGTATAATACTATTCTCTCACTACTTGATTATTTTCTATTATTGTTAACATGAAGATTGAGATCCTGCACACTTATGATCAAGTATCAGTGGGTGGAGGATGGGGAAGCTGACCTCACTTAACCCAACCTTGCCTGAGGTCAGGTCCTGGCCACACCCTACACCACACCTCACACAATGGGCTTCTTCACTCATTTCTTACTAACAAAAACCCTCTTTTGTTAGCTTTGTCACTTGTTTTGCTTTCTTCCTCTTTGCTCACCATTTAATTACACTTATGAACTCTGTTGAGTGTGATACAGCTTGTTTATCCCAGCCAAGCCTCAGATACACAGTGGAGCTTCCCAGCCTTCAACTGTAAGTGCTGGTGTGTAACTGGTGGTCAGTGGTGGTGGTCAGTGGTGGTGGTCAGTGGTGGTGGTCGGTGGTGGTCGGTGGTGGTCGGTGGTGGTCGGTGGTGGTGCACAGTGGTGGTGGTCAGTGGTGGTCAGTGGTGGGTGGTGGTCAGTGGCCAGTGGTGGTGGCCAGTGGTAGTGGCCAGTGGTAGTGGCCAGAGGTCAGTGGCCAGTGGTCAGTGGCCAGAGGTCAGTGGCCAGAGATCAGTGGCCAGAGGTCAGTGGCCAGAGGTCAGTGGCCAGTGGTGGTGGTCAGTGGCCAGTGGTGGTGGTCAGTGGCCAGTGGTGGTGGTCAGTGGCCAGTGGTGGTGGTCAGTGGCCAGTGGTGGTGGTCAGTGGCCAGTGGTGGTGGTCAGTGGCCAGTGGTGGTGGTCAGTGGCCAGTGGTGGTGGTCAGTGGCCAGTGGCCAGTGGTGGTGGTCAGTGGCCAGTGGTGGTGGTCAGTGGCCAGTGGTGGTGGTCAGTGGCCAGTGGTGGTGGTCAGTGGCCAGTGGTGGTGGTCAGTGGCCAGTGGTGGTGGTCAGTGGCCAGTGGTGGTGGTCAGTGGCCAGTGATGGTGGTCAGTGGCCAGTGGTGGTGGTCAGTGGCCAGTGGTGGTGGTCAGTGGCCAGGGGTGGCGGCCAGGGGTGGCGGCCAGGGGTGGCGGCCAGGGGTGGCGGCCAGGGGTGGTGGCCAGTGGTGGTGGCCAGTGGTAGTGGTCAGGGGTGGTGGTTATTCCACCACTGACCACCGTAGTGGCCGGTGGTGGAATATACCTTCACACTAGGCTTTGTCCAACATGTCCAACATGTCAGGTAATCTCTTACCCAGCATCCTCTCAGTTACACCATTTACTTCTCAATGTTATGTGCTAGCTTGATATTGGGTTATGTATCAAAGGAATTGTGGCAGTTAGGCACCACGCAACCAGTCCTCCCTTCTATCATTCCTCTGCACTTCTCTCTCTCCCCTCTCTCTCTCTCTCTCTCCTCTCTCACCCTCTCTCTCTCCTCTCCCTCTCTCTCTCTCCTCTCCCCTCTCTCCTCTCCCCTCTCTCTCTCCCTCTCCCCTCTCCCCTCTCTCCCTTCTCTCCCTTCTCTCCCTTCTCTCCCTTCTCTCCCTTCTCTCTCTTTTCTCTCTCACTCTCTCTCTCTCTCTCTCTCTCTCTCTCTCTCTCTCTCTCTCTCTCTCTCTCTCTCTCTCTCTCTCTCTCTCTCTCTCCTCTCTCTCTCTCTCTCTCTCTCTCTCTCTCTCTCTCTCCTCTCTCTCCTCTCTCTCTCTCTCTCCTCTCTCTCCTCTCTCTCTCTCTCCTCTCTCTCCTCTCTCTCTCTCTCTCTCTCTCTCTCTCTCTCTCTCTCTCTCTCTCTCTCTCCTCTCTCTCCTCTCTCCCCTCCTCTCCCCCCCTCCCTCTCTCTCTCTCTTTCTTCCCTCTCTCTCTCTCTCTTCTCTTTTTCCTCTCTCTCTTTCTTTCCCTCTTCTCTTTCTCCTCTCTCTTCCCTTTCTCCTCTCTCTCCTCTCTCTTCTCTCTACCTCTCCTCTCTCTCTTTTCTCTCTCTCCTCTCTCTTTTCTCTCTCTCCTCTCTCTTTTCTCACTATCTCTCCTCTCTCCCTCTCTCTCTCTCCCTCCTCTCTCCTCTCCCTCCTCTCTCCTCTCCCCTCCCCTCTCCCCTCCCCTCTCCCTCCTCTCCCCTCCCCTCTCTCCTCTCCCTCCTCTCCCATCATCTTACCTCTTTTGTCTGTCAGTTAACAATCAGGTGTGTGAAGCAGTACATGTCATGACTAGATCAATGTTGTCTGTCACAAATTATGTTCTCTCCAGATGCACTACAAGCCTCCTCTTGCTTATTTTTGCTAGTACTTAACAAGAAGGAAATCCATGTCTGAGTCACTGGTCTGAAGGTTTAGGGAATCCTGTCCTCCAACATTTACCATGATCTACATTAATGTGTGGTCATAAAATGTTACACAGTAAGACATCATCATCAGCATCTGTCATGAAGACAAAATGATGATTGCTAACAAAGGAGAATATCAGCAGCCTGCACAAAACTACAATAAAATTTGTATCTCGATAACAAAATTCCTTACCCGTAGAAATTTGAGGGCGAGAGCTGAGTATTTGTACTAATCACTGTTCCAGATGATCCCATCATCCCTGGCTGGAGTACGGCATAGTCGGGATGCTCCTCCAGCCACTCCTTGAGCTGCACAAGTGTTGGGGCTTCCCCACCTGTTTTCAAGTACACAAAAACAAATAAATTGGAAAGCAAACATTATGAAGAAATACTAATAAAAAGAAAATGCATGAAGACATTCATCTTTAAAATAATTACCTTCATTGATGTTGAATGAGAACTCGTGTAACAATGTTCAAAACTATGGATCATGACAAATAACTCGTACAGTTCAACTGACACTTCCAGAGGGTGAATCTTGACAACAGGAACTAGACCTGTAGACTGGGTGCAGGTCCTGGCTGGTGCTAGTCCTATAAGCTTACTGTCGGCTGAACCAACAACTGGTGCATCTTGGTTGTAAGCTTCTTTGCAACAAATCTTAATATGTCTTTTAAATGCTGCTGATAATCCATCAGCTTTTACCATTTCAGCAGTTGGGTAAAGCAGGTCACAAGTCTGCAACAATGCAGCATGGAAGAAGAGGCACCACACTATCTTCTACCTACCATCTCCAGTTACCCCCTCAGGATAACCTAATTGTATGTAAATTCACCATAATTTGGGTTGCCAGCATAATTTTCTTACCACTATCACATCAGTACCTGGTTGATACCTGGTTGATGGGGTTCTGGGAGTTCTTCTACTCCCCAAGCCCGGCCCGAGGCCAGGCTCGACTTGTGAGAGTTTGGTCCACCAGGCTGTTGCTTGGAGCGGCCCGCAGGGCCACGTACCCACCACAGCCCGGCTGATCCGGAACTTCTCTTAGAAAACCGTCCAGTTTTCTCTTGAAGATGTCCACGGTTGTTCCGGCAATATTTCTTATGCTCGCTGGGAGGACGTTGAACAACCGCGGACCCCTGATGTTTATACAGTGCTCTCTGATTGTGCCTATGGCACCTCTGCTCTTCACAGGTTCAATCTTGCATGTAAGTAAGTTGTTTAGCTGAACATGTCCCAATAGGCTCGAGGGAGCCGGTCGGCCGAGCGGACAGCACGCTGGACTTGTGATCCTGTGGTCCTGGGTTCGATCCCAGGCGCCGGCGAGAAACAATGGGCAGTTTCTTTCACCCCTATGCCCCTGTTACCTAGCAGTAAAATAGGTACCTGGGTGTTAGTCAGCTGTCACGGACTGCCTCCTGGGGGTGGAGGCCTGGTCGAGGACCGGGCCGCGGGGACACTAAAAGCCCCGAAATCATCTCAAGATAACCTCAAGATAAGATGGGCAGGTACAAACAAAATTTTGTTCCAGTGAATAATTTACATTGAACACAGCCCATTAAATATTTTGGGGGGAATGAGAGTTGTCTGAGTGTACAGGTACTTCCATCATCATATGAGGGTTTCGGGACTTTCTTAAAACTTTCTGGCACAATTTTGTTTAATCAGCAAAAACATTACTTTTCTTTCTTGTACCACATTTTAAGAAACCCTTCCTCTTACAAATTATGTCACTTCGCTCGTATGCACTACGACCAAAAAAGGGCCACCATTTGGAAATGAAAGATAAATGAAATGAAATTTTTTATTTTTTTTTTCCAAAACAGCAATGGTCCTCTAGTAGGTTAGAAGGGCAGGAAGTTCTCCTAAGGTTTTAAAACATCATGAAAACTGTTAATTAAATGTTTCCTCTCCTAACCTAACAGTCTAAGCCAGAGAACCCAATATATAAAACAAGACTGCAGGTCACTTATGTGAGCCTATTTCATTTTGAATTGCGTCCTTTTCTAGCCTGAGTGCGCATACAAGCGAAAGGCGACAAAATTTGTAAGAGGATGGGTTGTTTTAACACACGTGATAGGAAAAACTAATGCATTTTAAAGGAAATATCGTACCAAAGAAATAGAAGATCTGTCCAGTATATAGAAGACTAATTTTGACCGACTGACTGACTGACTGACTGACTGACTGACCGACCGACAAATTTTGACAGACTGGCTGGCTAAAGTTGGCTGAGCATGTTGGTCATCACTAGACGTCAATATACCTGCAATAGATTTACTGCCCCAAAGAGTCCTCTTGAACTTATACTCCAGCCACCTACTGGCTAATAAAGATGGTCAAGCAGCCAGACCAACCCAAATTTTTTTTTATAAGGGGACTCAGGCTCCCTATGCATTTTTTATAGGGAGGGAGGGGTCGCTCGGATGTCAAAGTCCTAAAGGCCTGGGTTCAAATCCCCACCGAGGCCGAAACAAATGGGAAATTTCTTTCACTCTGATGAAAGAGGTAAAATTAGAAAAAAGAGGTATGGATGAGATGCTTGATACCTGCTTGATGGAGTTCTGGGAGGAGTTTTACTCCCAAGCCCAGCCTGAGGCCAGGCTTGACTTGTGAGAGCATGATCCAACAACCTCTTGCTTGGAGCAGCCAGCAGGCCCACAAATTCACCACAGCCTGGTTGGTCCAGCACTTCTTGAAGAAAACTAACTAGTTTTCACTTTGTTCCGGCAATATTTGTAATACTTGTTGGGGGGATGTTGAACAACCGTGGATCTCTGATGTTTATACAGTGTTCTCTGAATGTTCTTATGGCACCTCTGCGTTTCACTGGTTCTATTCTGCATTATCTTTTATATCGTTCACTCCAGTAAGTTGTTATTTTACTGTGTAGATTTAAGAGCTGGCCCTCCAGTATTTTCCACGTGTATATTATTTGATATCTCTCTCATCATCTTTCTAGTGAGTACATTTGGAGAGCTTTGAGAATATCCAATAATTTAGGTGCTTTATCGCGTCTATGTATGCCGTATATGTTCTCTGTATTCCCTCTATTTCAGCAATCTATCCTGCTCTGAAGGAGGAAGTACTGAGCCGTACTCGAGACCAGACAGCATAAGTGCTTTCATTAGTACAACCATTGTGATGGAATCCCTGGATTTGAAAGTTCTCGTAATACATCCATGAGGATGGGTGTAAGGAGGAGAGGCGAAAGAAAGAAAAAAGGGGGGAAGCTTATGTTAGGTCAACCCTTTCTGCTGCTGCTCCTCTCATTTTTACACCCTATTACCCACCCATCCCATCCATACCCCTTTTTTCTTCTTCTTACCACTCGCCTTGCTATTACCTCCTCTCACCTGCTCCTCACCTCACTCTTGCCTTACTTATACCCGTGCCTCCCTCGCTCCCATCACAAGTGACTTGATAATGGGCCAGGACAGAACGTCATCTTCTAGTACTGTCTAGTACCACAAAAAATTGTGGTTTGGTCAACATTTCACTCTTTGGAAATGATTGACAAGCGGATGAAAACTGAACAATCTTTTCAAATATCTAGGCGCATTTTTTATTTAGATAATGAATAACTGTTTCTTAAAGGTAAGACAGTCGTTAAATAAGGTTCTGTATAACATATCAGGTGTGGGTTATGTATGCTGGGTATGGAGGCAAGATAATTTGAGCTTCCTTCAAAACTGCCAACGTATCGTAAGCAGTTTTTCGTAAGTTTGTAGTAACTCTGCTTCTTTCATTATTTTATTATTAGTACAGTAACACAATTTACTGTAATAATTTTCCTTGTTTTCAATATTTTATTATTAGGAAAGACTTTTGTGCCCAATAAATTTGCCAAGTATGCTTGTCTAGCTCCCTAGCCTATGGCGCTCGGTTTCCCATCCGTAATACAGCCACACTAGATGCAGGGCAAATTTTTTATATTTAAAATAAAAAACACATCTTATATGCTGACAATTACGGTAGTTAAAAAGGCAGGGTCCAAAATCTAATAGCTCGATTCTGCAGACAAACAGTAAATACCAGTCAATTAACCTTTTCACCAAAGCCCAGTGGTTTCAGTTGGTACCCATGATAAGTGAAAACAACACATTCCCATTTAAAAAATACCCGATTATCAAGAAAAGATTTTTTTTTGCTCAGCAACCACATTGCCTGTCACAGCGGAAGTGTTAACTAGCTACCAACCCACCAAGCCAATTAACAAAGCTAGCCAACAAGTGAATCAGGCGGGCAATTCCGAGCTGCTCTGTTGACAGTTAAGGTGAAGCAAACTAGCACACTCCCATGTCCTTGGGAGAGCGGAACCTGACATCACAGAATGTGTATAAATGTTTCATAGCAGCTACATATTCATTATTGAGGTATTGCTCAAGGTCATAAATTTCCCCGATAATTCTTTATATGTACTGTATATAAAATTTGCCATCAGCAAGCAACACACCATAATACTAACAGGGATCATTTATACACCACCTTACAAGTTTTGAAAAATTCAAGATAAATTTTCAATTAAAGATCTGGTGCAGAATCACATGAATTCTGCATCAGAACTTTAAATTTAGAAAAACAAACAATTAAGAAATAGAATCCCTTAATGGGGAACATATTAACAAAAGTGGGGCATCCCTACTTGGGATATTTAACCCTTAAACCGCACAAAACATACATATACGATTTGACATAACTGTGTTTTTCAAACTTACACAAACAATTTCCAATTTTTTGTGCATAATCAACTAGGCAAATGCTCCAACTTTGACTAAATGATCACAATGTAACTTGAAAAACAAGAAAATAAAAAATAATTTTAAAATTGAATATTGAAAACTTCAGATTTTCATATCAGATTAAAAAAATATAAACTATCACCAAGGGTTCATTCCGTATTGTTATGCTCTCAGAATAGCATATGATTTTAATTTTCATCCAATTAGAATATAGGTTTTCAGTATACCTTACTGTAGAAATAAATCTTCAATATGGTATTTGAAATATGCAGCAAATTCAGACAAAAATAGATTATAACTCCAAACATATAGGGCTAATGAAAAATCCATTCTGAAGGGATTGTAGAACAGACAGCTGAGCACCCATTATGTCAAAAGTGAAAATCAGTTAAAAACTGGAATTTTAGAAGCCAAAATTTTTAGAATTTAGAATTCAAAGTCGAAACTCTAGTTTCAAAGATAATTGAAGTTGAAGTTATCAACAATGAATAAAGGTAGTCTTAATTTGTTAATTTAACTGTTTGTTTTATTAAACATTGTTTATTGTTCTAATAAACATTCGTGCTCGAGTATGTGAAAGTTGTCAAGTCAAAAAGTTGTAGGCTCTAAATATGAACGGTTTAAGGGTTAAATATAACACCAAAACGGGCACAAATGCCACACAGGCAGGTCAATAACGTGGCTGAAGATATGATGTCCATACTCACGCATCAGAAAATGAAGAAACGACAACGTTTCAATCCATCTTGGACTATTATCAAGTCATGTAATTGCTTAATAATGACTCGACAATGGTCGAGGGCAGAATGAAAAGTCCTCGTTTTCTCCATTTCTGCCGAGTGGTTTGGATACAAATGCCACGGTGCAGCAAGCACTCATCACCATCATTGAACAACCACAGTACTGTACAGTATTTACCTGAGAGGATCTTTCCAGTGCTTTTGTGGTACACCAACACTCGAGGCTTGCTCTTCTCAAGAGAACTCACTGCATCTATCCCACACTGTACCTCTTCTACCTAGAAAAATAAATAGAACATTTTAATTGTGAACATGGAAATACTAATAGGCTTCTTAATATATATTCACCGGAAGTGCATTACTGATTACCATAAAGAAATGTTTAACTCTTAACACTTTCGCGCTATCTGGACGCGCCGGCGCGTCCCGTTTCGTCTAACGCTAACGCATAGTGGACATAAAGTTGAGTCCTCTTTTAAAATATTTGTATAAAATTCAATTTTTATCCGATTTACTTTGGGTTGGTTTCAAACTGCGCGCTATGAGGCTCTCTTTCTCACCACTAGGCTGCATGGTACAATAAGTTCATGAAAGGTGTGGATAACTTCGATCAAATGGTATTTTGTCCCAAACGGGTTGCAGGTGGGTGACTTTAGCCGTTTATACTGGTAATGCTTCCCCCATATCATGTATTATATGCATATGTCTGTTTAGGGAATTTTATTCCGATCAATATACAACCAAAAATAACTGTGTGCAACAAGTATAAACTTGACAAACATAACAAAAGTAAAAACATTTCGTGTGTGTTTGACGCTCACTGATATGTTCCAGCGTTGTTTTATATTTGGCGCTATTCTAACTTACGCTTTGTTGATATTTTTTACCTATGGGCACATAGAACATTCTATTGCGAACACATTGACACAAAAATGAATGACGTACATAGAAAATTAATGTCATGAGAGTGAAATAAGTATAAACTTTCAAAGCGCCGTGCGTCGTCCCGTCACCGATATCGGGTAACAATTTCACCACTTCCCACACTCTTGCGGGCGGGCCGCATCATTATTCTACGCTTATATTCATGTCACCGTGTTGGGAATTTCATTGCGAGTCCATTGATACCAAAATTAACGCTGTAGAATAAGTGTGGAGGTGATTACAATCCCAAGAGTAAAAACATTTTGTTGCTGTTGGGCGCTCACGGCACGTCATCTTCGTAGTTATTTATTTGGTGCTGGTATCACTATACGTTTTGCGACTTTTTTTACTGATGTTCTTCTAGAGAATTTTATTGCGAACACGTTGGTACCAAAATGAAATACGTAGCATGAGAACTAAGGTCAGAAGAGTAAAAAGAGTATACACATTTTTGTTTTTACGCTTAAGCGATAAAAACGCTGCGCGCACATTCGGTTGGCTGAGTGACCTTTGCGGAAAGCGCGAAAGTGTTAAGTTGCGCAACACATCATATGGTGGGTTGAGTGACTTGCTATAAAATGCGCATCCCATCACATGATGTATTGGAGTACTACGCAAGATTTAAACGGCCCGCGGATACACGGGTTCACCTCACTTTCAACAGGGCTCTTGTAAACAGACGTCATTTTTTTTTTTAAATCGTGGGCCAAATTCCCAGGTGTGTGGGCCTCAGTATTGAGTGAGTCACCAAGCCTGATGCACGCAGCATGAGCTTCACCATAACGTGGGTTAGTTATGGTAAACAAAACATGCAGATACTTATATATAACCTGTGTATACAGTATAGTGTATTAACTGACAAAGTCTTTGTTCACTGTTTGATGAACATAATTGAATCAACAATATGCACACCATATTTTTGAGTACAGCGATGATTCACCCATTTATTATATAAATATATCACACTACACACTATTGAATAATATTACAGCAAAAAAGCTACAAAAAATCAATCAGACATTGAAATAATTAGGTAATTATCTCTGTGGCCTCTCCTGCCTGACAGCTGGCGATCAACAGACCGCCTGGGACACACGCTGAGTCAGCGCCTGTTTTTTGCCAGACTTCCCTGCCCTATAGCGGGAAATACATGCCACTTACGATTTTTTTATTATTTTTCCATGATCAGAGAACACAAATTAAGAGGTTTAGAAGAATTTTTTTTTTTTTTTTTATATGTGCCTGTGGGTGACAAATGCTAATTAGCCCTGAGCATCACAAGGGTTAATGGCTCATGCACAAACCCCACATTGAAAAATTGGAAAATATGACTTTTTAGTTCATCCTGGACAATAATGTGTTTTCCTATTTCTATTGTGTTGGCCTAGTAATCATTTGTTCCAGCCATCTTACTGTGATATATTTCTGCTAAGGAATTATTACTACCATGCCTTATATTCGATCTGAGTTAATTTTAAACATTGGCACAATTTTTATGTTCATCTACACAGTTAAATTGACGGGTAGGTAGACAATTTTAATAACAGCTTGTGTACACTGATCACAGCATTGCTATTTCCACCTTAACTTGGAAATAAATTGACCAGTATCATGCCCAAAAGCATCCTACACATATATCAACCATGCCATAATATTGGGGAGAAAATCAGCACTCTTTTCTTGCAAAAACATTGCAATCAAACTTGAAACATCTTTATGGTAAAAATAGGTTTAGGTTCTTGAGACCAAAAACGCCACTTTTTATCACTCTTGACTTTTGACAAAATATCTACTTTAACACTAAAATATATTTAATATTTTAACCCAAAATTCAGCGTAAGATGAAATTCAGAATAACAAAGATGTGCTGTCAAGCATAAAAAAAATGAAAAAGTTTATAAAACACAACAACGTAGGTGTATGGACGCTCGATTTACTACCGACAACGTTCTCAACCTGTGTGACCAGGAAAGTCTCATGCACACGTTGAAACCTTGTATTAACCTGCAAGGTGCAGCATTGATCAAACGTGACGCTGCCCACGAGAAAATACTAATTTTGTGTTTCGTGCATATTAGGAGTTTGCCAGTTGAGTGGATCATTTGGGCTATGACCTGTTGTGACAATATTACTGACATGCCAAGTAAAGAAGACCTGTGATGATTGCATTAGAGGGGTTATATATATGCTGTTCCACTTTAATTTACACACTGGAATACTGGTACCTCAATTTATTTACACAAATTTGATAAAAACAATGATCGAGTATTGTACTTAAGCTTACAATGTAATACCTGTGTCTACATGTATATTACATTCTATTTGTTTGTGTCATAACTGAAATTAAATGTCTTGCATCCTACTCCATTGCTGCTATTTTGTCTGGGAATGTTGTCCAAAAATAAATTTAAAAACTGGCAGGAAAGTTCAGTGTGATTTGATGATAATCACAAAACTATAGCAATTTTGTATACTGGGTCAAAGTTACGGTATAACCGTATTTACACCATTTGTATAAAACCAGATAATAACTACTGTTAAAATATGATGATTGCATTATCCAGGTGATTAATGTACAATGATAACAGCAGTTTAACTTTAAACAACTCTCACCACTCTAAAGCAATTGCCACACACTGGGCCAATTAGGCCCTAGCAATATTTTTAAGCCACTACTTGGAGGATGTTATTTGGCGCAAGAGACCTTTACCAGTCGCTAGCTACAATAGGAAAAATGCTACAATAGAAAAGAAAAATCCCCAAGAGCCTTAATTTACTTCCTGGGCTTTGTAAAAAGATGTACACTATGTCTGGTGCATTATCATCTAGTCAATGATCATGTAGTGTGACCACTGTAGGAAGCATCAACAAGAAAAATAATTGCACAGACTTTGAAGGACCTCCATAGTCACCTATGAGAGACTACAAAGGATTGTGATCTAGCTCTCGATACCCCGCCTCCTAGCCATTTATAACTAATGCACTATTTAGTTATTTCAACATTTGACATTTAAAGTTTTTTTTAAGGTGTGAATGGAATTGGCTTTAACAGCCTCTTCCTTCAATGCTGACCAACTGTACTGGGAACAGGAATTCAGAATTCGATTAGTGTTCTATTTTTTTGTTATTTAAATAGGATTGTTGGTTTACTTTGTCTTTATTATTATTAGTTATTAGGTGAAAGTTATTAGGCGGATGAAGTCATCATTGTATAAAATTCCTTCACAATTACATGCCATGTACATCAATGATGTTCAATAGGTTTTCACAACTCCATATGGTAGTAATGAGATATACCAGGTCAAAATCATCAACTGAACCATTATCATGAGCTACATGTGCCAGGACAATGTCGGCATCTGTGGGTGGCACACTCGTGACTTATGCCTTTCTTTCAATCTATACTCTCGCCCATATGGTGCCAATTAGGCCGTATGTTATCGCCCAGAACTCGGCACCATTGTATATTATGTTCATATCCTTTTCACTACCCTATATGGTTGTAATGGAGTATGCCAAGTAAAAAGCTACGAGAATGAGGAAAGGGAATGTTCCTGCAATGCTGGATTTGATATTCATTAGGAAAGAAGAGATATTTGACATTCAGTACATTCCACCCCCCCCCCCCCTTGGGGAAAGTGACCATGTCCTTTTGGAAATAAAGTGTGCAATGCATTATAACCTAGAAGAGAATGAGGAAAATGAAGCAGTTGAGAAACCTTATTTTAAGAGGGTACACTATGGGGAAACTTGGCAAATCCTTTAATGAATTTGATTGGAAAAACTTGCTGTTAGGCAAGGAAGTATAAGTTGAATGTCAAGTTTAGTCAAATATATGATAAAGGCACAATTTTAATTTTTTTTTTTTTACCAAAACCTAGATGCAGAGCTAGAAAACAGGATTGGTTTAACAGAAATTGTGATAAGACCAAATGATGTAAAAATGGAATTAATATAGGAAGAGGCCATACCCTCAAATAAACCAACGATACAAAGAAGCAAGAAACTACATCAGTGAGGAGAGAGACCAAGAAATTTTGAGAAAGGGAGAGCAAGCAAATGTAAAACAGAACCAGGGCTATTCTACAAATTAAATATGCCAAAGCAAAAAGATAGGCAATATTGTCACTGTACAAAATAGAAACAGGCATCAACAAAACTGTTCAAGAAGAATTCTTGAAACCTGGAACTTCAAGAACACGAGGTCATAGATTTATGTTAATAAAACTGAAAAAAAATCACTTTCGCAAACAGAGTGATAAACGCTAAGAACAAGTTAAGTGAAAGATGGTGGTGGTGGCCAAAACCATCAGTAGTTTTAAAGTGTTATACGAGAAAGAGTACTGGGAAGATAGGACACCACAAGCATAGAACTACACTTAGGTAATTACAAGCATGCCAGTGAATACCATACATGATGCACCACACCTATCTGGCAGTCTTGAGGAAGGAGTAGTGTCAACAACACTACTCTATGTTGACTAAGTATCACCACTGCAGTGGTAGACGAACCACAAATGCAGTACTTTGTGTACAAGATAAGAGTGAGGGACCTGATATGGTGTTGTGGTCTGCACCTTGACTTTCACTGGTTATGAGATAATCCACAATTTATAAAAACAACAAATCAGCGATATATATATATCTGCATATTTGCAAATAAAATGCGTTACGAGCAATTATATTGGGCTCGTATAAATGCCGATACGAATATATACAGGGGTGTACATACTGCGATACACACTTCTGTACAAATGTATATTTCACATTAAATGAATTATTAAAACTGAAGGTGACACCCAATTTATAGTATATCATTTAAGCATGAAAAGATAAACAATGAAAGCAAGAAATATACAAATAGAATGAGAAACTGCCGTGCGGCACCTCACCCCATCACTCACTCACTCCTACCACCAGCTACTAAAACTAGCAAACTTTGCTGCTTCACCACACCTAATTAATTTTATGATATTGTGCTTCCAGGATGTTAATTAGGAATATGATAAAATATATATATATTTTTTTTTTGAGGGGGTGTGGTGTCACATGGCCCAGCTACAGGTCCTGAGGGCTGTAGTGTCACATTTACCAGCCACAGGTCCTGAGGGCTGTGGTGTCACATGGCCCAGCCACAGGTCCTGAGGGCTGTGGTGTCACATTTACCAGCCACAGGTCCTGAGGGCTGTGGTGTCACATGGCCCAGCTACAGGTCCTGAGGGCTGTGGTGTCACATTTACCAGCCACAGGTCCTGAGGGCTGTGGTGTCACATTTACCAGCCACAGGTCCTGAGGGCTGTGGTGTCACATGGCCCAGCTACAGGTCCTGAGGGCTGTGGTGTCACATTTACCAGCCACAGGTCCTGAGGGCTGTGGTGTCACATGGCCCAGCTACAGGTCCTGAGGGGCTGTGGTGTCACATTTACCAGCCACAGGTCCTGAGGGCTGTGGTGTCACATGGCCCAGCCACAGGTCCTGAGGGGCTGTGGTGTCACATTTACCAGCCACAGGTCCTGAGGGCTGTGGTGTCACATGGCCCAGCCACATGTCCTGAGGGCTGTGGTGTCACATGGCCCAGCCACAGGTCCTGAGGGTTGTGGTGTCACATTTACCAGCCACAGGTCCTGAGGGCTATGGTGTCACATGGCCCAGCTACAGGTCCTGAGGGCTGTGGTGTCACATGGCCCAGCTACAGGTCCTGAGGGCTGTGGTGTCACATGGCCCAGCTACAGGTTCTGAGGGCTGTGGTGTCACATGGCCCAGCCACAGATCCTGAGGGCTGTGGTGTCACATGGCCCAGCTACAGGTCCTGAGGGCTGTAGTGTCACATGGCCCAGCCACAGGTCCTGAGGGCTGTGGTGTCACATGGCCCAGCTACAGGTCCTGAGGGCTGTGGTGTCACATGGCCCAGCCACAGGTCCTGAGGGCTGTGGTGTCACATGGCCCAGCCACAGGTCCTGAGGGCTGTGGTGTCACATGGCCCAGCTACAGGTCCTGAGGGCTGTAGTGTCACATGGCCCAGCCACCGGTCCTTAGGGCTGTGTAATTACCTAAGTGTAGTTACAGGATGAGAGCTACGCTCGTGGTGTCCCGTCTTCCCAGCACTGTCATATAACGCTTTCAAATTACCGACGGTTTTGACCACCACCACCTTCTCACCTAACTTGTTCCAACCATTTACCACTGTTTGTAAAGGTGAATTTTCTTATATTTCTCCGGCAGCTTTTTTTCGTTAATTTAAATCTATGACCTCTTGTTCTTGAAGTTCCGAGTCTCAGGAATTCTTCCTTGTCAATTTTATTGATTCCTGTTACTATTTTGTACGTAGCGATCATATTGCCTCTTTCTTCCATCTTCTTGTTTTTGCACATTTAATGCCTCTAACCCCTCCTTGTAGCCCTTGTCCTTCAGTTCTGGGAGCCACTTAGTGGCATGTCTTTGCACCTTTTCCAGTTTGTTGAGGTGCTTCTTAAGATATGGGCACCATACAACCGCTGCATATTCCAGGTTTGGTCTAACAAAAGTCATGAACAGTTTCTTTAATATTTCGCCATACATGTATTTAAAAGAAATTCTGAAGTTAGAACAGGCTCCTCGCACAGTGTTCTTTGTGTGGTTCTCAGGTGACAGTTTTCTATCTAGAACCACCCCTAGATCTCTTTCTTTGTCAGAAATCTTTAAAGATTTCTCACATAATTTATAAGTTGTGTGGGGTCTATGTTCTCCTATTCCACATTCCATAACATGGCATTTATTCACATTAAATTCCATTTGCCAAGTTGTGCTCCATGTACTTATTTTATCCAAGTCTTCTTGAAGGGCAGGACAATCATCTAGGTTTCTTATCTTCCCTATTATCTTAGCATCATCAGCAAACATGTTCATATAATTCTGTATTCCATCTGGTAGATCGTTTACGTAGACAATGAACATTATCGGTGCAAGAACTGAACCCTGTGGTACTCCACTTGTGACATTCCTCCAATCCGATACATTGCCTCTGATTACGGCCCTCATTTTTCTATCAGTTAAGAAATTTTTCATCCATGTTAGAAGCTTACCTGTCACCCTCCAATATGTTTCAGTTTCCAGAACAACCTCTTATGTGGAACTGTGTCAAAAGCCTTTTTTAGGTCCAGATAGATGCAGTCAAACCAACCAACACTTTCCTGTAAAATTTTTGTGGCTCGATCATAGAAATTGAGCAAATTCGTTACGCAGGATCTTCCAGATCGAAAACCATACTGCCTGTCTGATATTATATAGTTTTTCTCCAAGTGTTCTACCCATTTAGTTTTAATTATTTTTTCCAATATTTTCACTATTACACTTGTCAATGATCCAGGTCTATAATTAGGGGGGTCTTCCCTGCTGTCACTTTTGTAGATTGGAACTATGTTAGCCTTTTTCCACACATCAGCTACAACTCCTTTACACTGGGATACAGTACCTGAAAAATCAGGTGAATTGGAATGCTGAGCTCAGGTGCACATTCTTTCAGAACCCATGGTGAAACTCCATCTGGACATACTGCTTTGTTCTTGCTTAGCTCCTTGAGCATTTTCTCCACTTCGTCTCTAGACACCTCTATGTGCTCTATGTTGTTCTATGGAATTCTTATTGTGTCTGGTTCCCTGAAGATTTCATTTTGTACAAACACTTTGGAACTTTTCGTTTAATGTTTCACACATTTCCTTTTCATTTTCCGTGAATCTATTTCCCACTTTTAACCTCTGAATATTATCCTTTACCTGCAATTTGTAGTTTATGAATTTATAGAATAGACCTGGTTCTGTTTTACATTTGTCCGCAGTCCATATGTGTGTGGACACACGTTAATTGCTGAACACTGCTACACACACACACAAGCGGTGTAGTGCAGTGGTGGCCAAGTGAACAGCACGCTGGATACATAATCCTGTGCTCCCGGGTTCGATTCCCGGTGCCGGCGAGGAACAACGGGCAGAGTTTCTTTCACCCTGATTCCCCCCCTGTCACCTAACAGTAACTAGGTACCTGGGAGTTAGACAGCTGTTATGGGCTGCTTCCTGGGGGAAGGGGAGAATGTAAAATAAAAAAATAATTCGTTAGTAGTTAGTAACAGTCGATTGATTGATAGTCGAGAGGCGGGCCGAAAGAGCAGAGCTCAACCCCCACAAGCACAACTACGTGAATACAACTAGGTGAATATTCACACACACACATACACACCTGTTGGATGTAATAGACACAATTATCAACATGAGGGAGTAGCATAAAAATATATGATATGAAAAATTAAAACAATTACAAATAATAGTAATGCAGTACAGTGTTTGTAAATGATTCTTAATGTATATCAGTATAAAACAAGAGAAAGGAAAAAAAGTTTGGCAAAATAAATTGGAAACAAGTACTAGTTTTCTTTGGCCATCAGTAATTTTTTTGAATTGCCAAGCCAATATATTACAAAATCATATAGAGTAAAACAAATCATTTTTTACAATTACTTGCTTTATTAATATTATCAGCCATCTGCACTGTGACAATGAAGATAGGTGACAATATTAAGGCCATAACAGCTCGGGTCCTTGTACAGTATGACTCCTTGTTACTATATCAACATGGCAACATAAATTATTCAATAAATATGTCTCTGATGTTCATTTCCAGTATAATTATCACAGCAAAGTTAAGATACACTAAACAATTTTTGGTTTATGGTTAACTGACTGTCGTGAGTAGACTGTTTGAAAGATATTTTTCATGACAGTTTGGCTGCATTTATGAAGCATGTACTTAACTGGTTAATTGAAAGTGAACATTAAACACAAAGTTAGAAGTAAAACTCAGCCATCTGAGAAGCAGCAAAGCCTGATGACAAACCTTGTCAGTTTTGCCCAACATTTTAAGGGACATTTGTGCATGCTTGAGAACACAGTCGTTGCTACAGTAGATGGAGTCCGCTTTTGGAGCCTTATTGCACGACTCTACCACACACTGCCGAGGTGAAAATGTTTGTCAATCAGCTACACTAGTTATTTGTGGCAATTTCCATCTGAATAATAAGGACTATGGAGTATCATGTGAAATGGGGGTCCTACTACCTATAAGCTATGACTACCTATCACCAAAGCCATTTTGGTACTTGTGACAAAACAATATTATTTGTAAAAAAATCAGTTTTAAAAGTGTCAAAAATTAAAATGTGTGAAACATGCACAAAATAATGTCAATATGAACAATACAAATTATTGGCGATATTTATGACAAACATGTATAATAAGGTGCAAAACAATAAATAAAAAGGCTTAAATAATTTATGGAAAATTTAAATAACTTGTTGGTTTAAATCCCAATGTTAGAAGGTAGTTCCGATGCCGAAAACTGACTGCTTTGCTCGACTATCTTCATTTACCTCAAGCAAATAAGTGTGAATATACTGTACAAATATCAAGGAAAAAGTGTGACCATGTAGTCCAAATATAGGACTGTCCTTCAAGTCATCAGTGTTCGACAACAGTGACCGAGTGTAGAATAAAGAGAGATTTCCATACTAATTTGAGCCTCACTGACATGTCATCTCTCATTAAAGGCAATTAAAAACATATATTGCAGTTTAATTTGAATGTATTAATTGATAAAGTGGACATTAACTCGTCAAAACTAACCGAGATTGAACCCATGACGGATTAAACATGTTTGAAGCTTTTACCAATTTTGAACAAAATAAAATAACTTCTGAGTATGAATAGCATTTTTCTAAGTAACCATTCTAAAGCTCCTCAAGATAAGCTTTGTCGTTTGTAGAGTATGATTATGCACAGACGTGAAGATGCTTTGCTCTGGCACGACAGGGAACTTTTATAAGTGGATCCTATAGGGTAAATATAGGAGAGTCTGGCACTGGAGAACACTTCATCTGGCTCAATATGACGCACACACGTTTGCCAATTAAAACACAAAAGCTCTTCTGAACTTTACCCTTGTCATAATGGGTGGCCTACTTGGCCACCTATGCTGACCACAACACCAGGCAGCAGGGTCCAGCCCTCAATGCCGCTCCAAGCAGGGCTCGACCCTGACTGCTGCTTCAAGCAAGGACCATCAGTGACAATGGACAAAAAAAGTGGAACATAATAAAGTGCCTCTTTTTGGTTGGGTCTGACAGGCTCCCTGCAGCTAGCTGCACTGAGATAGCTCCACACACGAGTCCACAGTCACAGACATCCTTAACAGCCTACCGAAGACCAGGGCCAGAGTTTGGCTCCTCACAGAGATGCAAGAATTAGAAGATTCTTTATGATCACCCTCACCATCTTTACATGCATAAAGTAAGCACAGAAAAACAGCCACCTGCAAGGTTTAGAAAGAAACTAGAATTGAAGCAGCAAATGACTGCCCAAACGAGTTAACCAGTTGTCAGTTTGAACCCCCCTATTACAGCTGGCCATTGCCAGGTGGCAGTACCATTGGGAGCTGCCAGCTGCCATGTCAACACAATTCAGTCCAGAACCAGAGACCACCAACTGACTCACTTGGAACAAGGGAGAGATAACTAAGGTCTCCTGCTCCCTATGCCTCTATGATGAGGGCTAAGGTTTGGTTCAGGTCTCTGCTAGGATATTAAGGATTCCTGAGGCTGATGTGACTCATTTGTTGAGCTATCTCAGTGGAGCTAGCTGCAGCAACCCACCATTTGACCCTTTCAGAGAGTTTAGCTTTGCTAAAAAACCTAAATTATTTTCCAGGATAATAGATATAATATATAATAAATATAATATGTTCAGACTGTAGAAGAGCAGTCAGTGCAGTTGGCTGACAATAAATAGTCCCAGGTTCAAGTCATGAGCAGTACAAGACACTTGGGCACATTTACAGTACTCAACCCAATTCCTATGTTCACTTAGCAGTAAACAATACTTTGGAATTAGGCAACTGTTGGATTGCATTCTGGGGAAGGGGCATACATCTAGGGCGGGAGACCTCAATAAGCCTAGCCAGGCTTCCTGTCCCTGACATTGGGAAACCACATTATTTATCAATGAAAAATACATAATTGATTTGTTTCGTAACAGACAGGAAGCCAGAGTGTACAGTACGTATATATATTTTAGGTTTGTATCGAGATCCCTCCTAGGTTGAACTACTGACCTCCCAGATGCGATTCCTCAACAGTTGCCTAACTTCCGGGTACCTATTTTCCACTAGGTGAACAGAGGTGCTAGGTGAAAAAAAAATTGCACAACCATTTTTGTCTTAACCAGGGATCGAATCCAGCATCCCAAATTCTGAATCGAGAATGAAGTCGACTGTACTGTACTACGAGACACATCAAAGACCCGATGAAAGGAAAACAAAATTAACAAAATATATAGGTTAAATATGTAGGCTATGCCTACCATATTATACAAACAAATATTTCTTACCTCTTTTCCTCCATTTAAATTTTTGGGGGGAGATACTGGGATTATTGTAGAAGCATCCATCTTCTTGTCATTATATAATTTTACTGGTGTGAAGTGACCATCTCGTGACCCTTTCTTTGTCACCGGCTGCCTTGTCTGCTGTATCTCTACCTTCTTTTCTCCTACTACAATTCTCTTTGGTATTGTTTGGCCCTCTTGAAGCATAACTGATCTATTGCCCGCTTGGCTCCCATTTTTGGTAATTGAGTGTCGTAATATTTCTGGTAACTCGTTCTCTGAACCATCAGCAGATTTTTTACCTGGTAGCCCATAGCCCTTCATGGCCCGCTCAGCTTTTTTACATTTAGGACAAACCCACTCTTGTCCATCTTCTTCCATCTGCTGACCTGGAAACAATGACAAAATATTAGCTACACACAACAACTTTCCTTATACAAATCAGCATGTACCAAGGCCTAACACTCAATTCTAACGTAACAGTTGCTGTTTTCTAAGGTGGTTAGAGTGTGGTTCAGGGCCTGTGTACCATATTGTTATTCACAGAAGCCTTTCTGTGCTTAGTATGTTATAACCATAGTTCAAGTTAATGTCTAGCTTTAACCATTGGACTGTGCCGGTCGACAATACTCGTGGCAGGCAAATCGCAGGCCGAGAAAACATGACATCGTGCAAATCAAAACGCGCGTGCAGTAGGCTGGCTACAAAATGCACTCCTAGAACCTCCAGTGAGAGGCAGCCATCTTCAAAAAAATTCCCAGAATGCCCTAGGGCTGCTGGCCAGCTCAGTCTTGAATGAGCAGCCATGAGTGGCGCACGTGTTGTTGAAAGATCGCTCTCTGTCGGTGAAATTCAGACCTTATTGTTTGAAGAATGTAAGGTTCATGATATTGATAAAGCTAGGCACAATAAGGACCTAACACAAGTGTCGGATACAAATGATACAGCAAGGATGAGGATGATACAGCGAGCTTATCCAGTAGTGGCCGAGCGCCATGCATGACCACCCGTGTCATCTCCAATTTATATAGATGATACTACAGATGAATCGTTTTCTGGGTTCTGTGATGATGCATCTTATACAAGTAGCATAGATGAACAGTGTGTTAGCAGCTTACATGGTGGTGTTTATTTCCAGGGGTGGTGGTGGCAATACAAGGAGCACGGGTGAATTCGTGAGGGAGGACTGATAATTTTGTTACACACAAACCATAATTTGATGATTTTGATGTTGGTGTTGTACCCACTTTCCCATGTACAGGTGAAAATACGAGTGATACCAGTACAGAATTTTGTCATTGAGGTTTTCCTTGATCGTTTCAAGAATACCTGAATCTTTTCAATCCTACCTTACAAATTGATCTTTTCCAAGATCTTTTCAAGACTACCTTACACTTCACAAGCTTGGCTACATACCACCTACAGGAACTAAATCCAAGGGTGTACTTGTGGGAGTTGTTTACTAGCACACAGAATGAAGAAACAAAGAAAATCTGTGTGTACCTGGTGCATCCAGTGCGAAGTCGCACTGTGTACCATAGACTGCTGCTTTGATTATCACTCTCCCACAGAACTGTGTGTGTAATACAGTGTGTGACTGTACAGTGTGTGAAAGTGTACATATTGAAAAATATATTGAATACTGAACAAGTAATATTGCAACAATGCACATTTGTTGTGGACACATTAGTGACATTTATTACAGTTCCTTGCAACTTTATGAACGTTTTACTGAATAAATTATATATATATGTATATATGCGAACAAGCCTGAATGGTCCCCAGGACAATATGCAACTGAAAACTCACACCCCAGAAGTGACTCGATGTATATATATGTATGTATATATATATATATGTATATATATATGTATATGTATATGTATGTATGTGTGTGTGTGTATATATATATATATATATATATATATATATATATATATATATATATATATATATATATATATATATATATATATATATATATATATATATATATATATATATATATATATATATATATATATATATATATATATATGTCGTACCTAGTAGCCAGAACTCACTTCTCAGCCTACTATGCAAGGCCCGATTTGCCTAATAAGCCAAGTTTTCCTGAATTAATATATTTTCTCTAATTTTTTTCTTACACACACACACACACACACACACACACACACACACACACACACACACACACACACACACACAAAAGGGGAAAAACAAAACAGAGCTTGATTTTGAGGGATTCAATGAAGAAAGCATTGATATTAGTAGTCTACATAACAAGTTGGTAAAATTAGATACTATAGTGAACTCTCATGTAGAAATAATTAGTAAATTGAAAGAAAGTAATGACCATTTGAATAGCAAAGTTTTATGTCTTGAGGGTTTAGTGAAAGACTTGCGCAAGGATAAGAATCAATTGGAAACAAATTGCAAAGCCATGGAAGAAGAAAATAAACTCTTAAAAATAGCTTTGGAAGAAGTTAAAGTAAATTTAAACATAAATGACTACAATAGGTTAGGCAAGGAAATTCAACAGGAGAAACAGCTTTTGTCAGCACAGATGGAGGAAGTTACACAGGGAATAGAACAGTGCAAGAAAGATATGCAACTCACTTATGCACAAGTGGCCAAGGAGAAGGAAAAAATAGAAGAAGCAGTAAAGGAAGTCAAACACTGCAGCAACCAAGATAAAACAAACATTAGGCTAGAAGTGAGGAAAGAATTGGCATCTAACCCGAAGTTGGTGCAAAACACAGTTGATCGGAGTAAGTCCCTGATCATTTTTGGCTGCAAAGAAAAGGCGATAACATCTAGGTCAGAAAGAGCTGTAGAAGAAGCTAAAGTAGTAGATAAAATTGTTGGCCTCGTGGAAGGTCTTACAAACAGAGAGAATGTGTGCGACTACAGGAGAATAGGCAGGTACGTAAAAGGGAAAGATCGACCTTTGAGGATCACCCTAAACGGTGCCAAACAGATGGAAGAAGTACTAAGGAATGCTAGAAAATTGCAAAGGGATGAGGATGGGAAAGGGTGGTCATTAAGACGAGATCTTTCAAAAGAAGATAGAGAGAAGCTGAAACTGAACCTCGCCGAGGCAAAACATTTAAATGAGAGCAGGAATGAAGAAGAAATAAATTCTTTTTTCTACAAAGTGATAGGGGTAGGCAAACCAGTAAAGTGGTACATAAAGGCAAACCAACAAAATCAATAGAGAGAGGGGGAGTGAAGAATAAGGAGAGGGGGAACAAGTTCCTGAAGATTGCATACACCAACATAGATGGAGTGAGATCGAAGATACTGGAGTTAAGTGATGTAATACAGCTGCAGACACCAGACATTGTTGCACTCACGGAGACAAAACTTGAAGATGTAATTTTAAATGAGGTCATATTCCCAAGGGGCTACTCAATTTGGAGACGGGACAGAAAAATTAGGAAAGGCGGTGGCGTTGCTGTGCTGGTAAAAGAACACCTAAAGGTGAAGGAAATAATGACTGCCAATCCACAAGAAGTTGACATAATAGCACTAGAGATCTGCTATGAGGATGATAAACTAATGATGATAAATGCATATAGTCCACCGCCAAGCAGCACATGGTCAAAGGAGGAGCTAGATAGTAAACGTGAAGGTCTTATAACAATAATGAGAGAGATTATAGCGAGAGCGGATAACGATAGATCACGACTGTTGATAGTCGGTGACTTCAACTTGAAATCCATAGACTGGGAAGCATATGAAGCTAAAACAGAAGATTTTTGGACCTGTAAATTTGTAGACCTCATCCTGGAAACATTCTTGTATCAACATGTTAAACAAGCTACGAGGATGAGGGAAGGGGACGTTCCCTCCATGCTAGATTTGATATTTACCAGGAAGGAGGAAGAGATATTTGACATTCAGTACCTTCCTCCCTTGGGTAAAAGTGACCATGTCTTTTTGGGAATAAAGTATGCAATGCGTTATAAGCTGGAAGAAAATAAGGAGGTTGAAGCAGTTGAAAAACCAGACTTCAGGAGAGGACATTATGGTGACCTTAGAAATTTTTTTAGTGAGTATAATTGGACAGACTTGATGCTAGGCAAGGAAGTGAATGAGATGTATGGCAAGTTTTGTGAAATATATGATAAAGGCACAAAAAAATTTATACCAAAACAGAGATGCAGAACTAGGAAACAGGATTGGTTCAATAGAAATTGCGAGAGGGCTAGAGACCGAAAGACACAAAAATGGAATCAATACAGGAAGAGGCCGAACCCCCAAACATACCAGCGATACAAAGATGCGAGAAACAACTACACGGCAGTGAGGAGAGAGGCAGAAAGAAATTTTGAAAAAGGGATTGCGGACAAATGTAAAACAGAACCAGGTCTATTCTATAAATTCATAAACAACAAATTGCAGGTAAAGGATAATATTCAGAGGTTGAAAATGGGAAATAGATTCACGGAAGATGAAAAGGAAATGTGTGAAACACTAAACGAAAAGTTCCAAAGTGTGTTTGTACAAAATGAAATCTTTAGGGAACCAGATACAATAAGAATTCCAGAGAACAACATAGAACACATAGAGGTGTCTAGAGACGAAGTGGAAAAAATGCTCAAGGAGCTCGGTAAGAACAAAGCAGCTGGCCCAGATGGCGTTTCACCATGGGTTCTGAGAGAATGTGCATCTGAGCTCAGCATTCCACTTCACCTGATCTTTCAGGCATCCCTGTGTACAGGAATCGTAGCAGACGGGTGGAAACAGGCTAACATAGTTCCAATCTACAAAAGTGGCAGCAGGGAAGACCCCCTCAATTATAGACCTGTATCATTGACAAGTGTAATAGTGAAAGTATTGGAAAAACTAATCAAAACTAAATGGGTAGAACACCTAGAGAGAAATGATATAATATCAGACAGACAGTATGGTTTTCGATCTGGAAGATCCTGTGTATCGAATTTACTCAGTTTCTATGATCGAGCCACAGAGATATTACAGGAAAGAGATGGTTGGGTTGACTGCATCTATCTGGACCTAAAAAAGGCTTTCGACAGAGTTCCACATAAGAGGTTGTTCTGGAAACTGGAAAATATTGGAGGGGTGACAGGTAAGCTTCTATCATGGATGAAAAATTTTCTGACTGATAGAAAAATGAGGGCAGTAATCAGAGGCAATGTATCAGAATGGAGAAATGTCACAAGTGGAGTACCACAGGGTTCAGTTCTTGCACCAGTGATGTTTATTGTGTACATAAATGATCTACCAGTTGGTATACAGAATTATATGAACATGTTTGCTGATGATGCTAAGATAATAGGAAGGATAAGAAATTTAGATGACTGTCATGCCCTTCAAAAAGACCTGGACAAAATAAGTATATGGAGCACCACTTGGCAAATGG